CGTATAGAAAAAAACTTGAAACTAATTTTTTTCGTATAGAAAAAAATTCGGAATTAATTTTTTTCGTATAGAAAAAAAATCGGAATTAATTTTTTTCGTAAAAAACGCCACATTGGCATCACTGTTCTTTTGTGTGTTTGTGTGATGTAATGTGTCTTGCGCTCTAAATTTTTGCCATGGAACGTTTCACCTCACTCGTCGTCACGTCTGGTGTCATTAATTCGTCCTGTGGACTATGTTGTTGCCGACTCTGTTGTTGTTAGGAGAAAATTTAATAGATTTTTTGAAAAAAACCAACAACAAAAACCTGAAAATGTTATTAACTCCCAAATAAGAAAATAAATAAAAGCGAAAATTGCAAAGAAAGAAATAAAAAACGCGCTCCTTTACATACCAAAACAGAACTGCCAGAATGTGTCAGCAAGTCAGCTAGCCACCCACCCAGCCAACACCACCCACCACCATTCCTTCATTGGCAATTTCCCTCTCTCTTTTTCTCTGGCGGAATTTTCTAACTAGCCTCCCTTCCACACTAAGTGTGGAAGAAAATCAATACATTTTTATCCGACTTTGGATAAAAATAGCTTAAAGCAATCAAATCAACAACAACAACAAACGTCACTTTGTAAAGCAACAACAGCAACAAAAAACTGAACTTTGTTCGAAAAATAAAATGAAATCACAGTTGTTGTAAATGAAGAACAATCTAAACACGAAAACCATCCCGCCCCTCCCTGCTGAACTAGTAAGAAATTATGACATATTCTAATGCCCCCTTCTCATCCGCCGGCCCCCATATTGCAAACCTTATTTATACGAAAAAGGGGGCTGGTGGCATATCCTTTGCGTGCCAAACCAATGTCGCCAAAACTGAAATTTTATAGAAATGATGAATGAAATGAAAAACGAGTGACCTAACCACGACGTCAATGAAGTTGGGGGGTGTGGGAGGAGGAAGAAAATGAAATTCAAATTTATATTTGGTGCCAACATTAATTAATAATTCATTCATTAAAATAATTGGCTACAAAATACACAGTTGACGTTATAAAGGGACCGCAGGACAAAATTTGTAGGTAAATTTCGATTTCTATAAAAAAAGAGGTGGGTCAATTTTTCTATAGTAACAATTTGGTGAGAACTTTTTGATACCCTTTGGTCGATTTTTGACTATAGAAAAAAAATTGTTGAGACCCTTGGGTAAATTTTTCTTATGAAAACAAATTGTTGATATCCTTTTTTCTATAGAAAAAATGGGCCCTTGGGTAAATTTTTTGTATATAGAAAAAATTTGTTGAGACTCTTGGATTGATTTTTCTGTAGAAAAAAATTTTTGAGACCCTTAGAAAAAGTTGTTGAGACCCTTGAGTCCATTTTTTCTATAGAAAAAATAATTGTTGAGACCCTTGGGTCGATATTTTCTATAGAAAAAAATTTGATGAGACCTCAGGGTCGACAAAAATTCTTGAGACCATTGTGTGGATTTTTTTTTCTATAGCAAAACTTTAGCTGAGGCCCTTGGGTCGATTTTTCTATAGAAAAAATTTATTATATCCTTGGGTCGATTTTTTTTATAGAAAACAAATTGTTGAGACCCTTGGGTCGATTTTTTTTTGTAGAAAAAAATTGTTGAGACCCTTGGCTCCATGTTTTCTGTAGAAAAAAATTGTTGAGACCCTTAGAAAACGTTGTTGAGACCCTTGGGCCGAAAAAAATTCTTGAGACCCTTGGGTCGATTTTTTTCTATAGATAAAAATTTGATGAGACCTCAGTGTCGATTTTTTTTCTATAGCAAAACTTTAGCTGAGACCCTTGGCTCGATTTGTTCTATAGAAAATAATGCTTATATCCTTGGGTCGATTTTTTCTATAGAAAAATATTGTTGAGACCCAGTTTTGGGTAAATTTTTTTTCAATAGAAAATAAAATTCGCTGAGACCCAGTTTTGGGTCAATTTTTTTTTAATAGAAAAAAAATTCGCTGGAGCCCAGTTTTGGGTCAATCTTATTTTTCAATAGAAAAAAATTCGCTGAGACCCAGTTTTGGGTCGATTTTTTCTATAGAAAAAAAGTCGCTGAGACCCAGTTTTGGGTCGATTTTTTTCTATAGAAAAAAAGTCGATGAGACCCAGTTTTGGGTCGATTTTTTTCTATAGAAAAAAAGTCGATGAGACCCAGTTTTGGGTCGATTTTTTTCTATAGAAAAAAAGTCGATGAGACCCAGTTTTGGGTCGATTTTTTTCTATAGAAAAAAAGTCGCTGAGACCCAGTTTTGGGTCGATTTTTTTCTATAGAAAAAAAGTCGCTGAGACCCAGTTTTGGGTCGATTTTTTTCTATAGAAAAAAAGTCGCTGAGACCCAGTTTTGGGTCGATTTTTTTTATAGAAAAAAAGTCGCTGAGACCCAATTTTGGGTCGATTTTTTTCAATAGAAAAAATTCGATGAGACCCAGTTTTGGGTCGATTTTTTTTTCTATAGAAAAAAATTCGATGAGACCCAGTTTTTGGTCGATTTTTTTCTATAGAAAAAAATTCGATGAGACCCAGTTTTGTGTCGATTTTTTTCTATAGAAAAAAATTCGATGAGACCCAGTTTTGGGTCAATCTTATTTTTCAATAGAAAACAATTCGCTGAGACCCAGTTTTGGGTCGATTTTTTTCTATAGAAAAAAATTCGCTGAGACCAGTTTTGGGTCGATTTTTTTCTATAGAAAAAAATTCGCTGAGACCAGTTTTGGGTCGATTTTTTTTTTCTTAAAAAAAAAATCGATTTATGCATGTCCGTCTGTAGATGTTAAATTGAAAACAAAGTACAGGTCGCATTTATGATCCGATTTGGATGAAATTTGGCACAAGTCACTTATTTGGCCCAATGGCGAACTCTATTGAAATTGAAGAAAATCGATTAAGATTTAGATATAGCTGCCGTATATAGTTTCGTCCGGTTTGGGGCACCAAAGTCCCTATATATCTTTCAATTTCCACGAAATTTAGCATAGAATCGGCTCAGATTTAGATATAGCTCCCATATATAGTTTTGTCCGATTTAAGATAAACGGGTCACCAAAGCCCCTGTGTATCTTTCAATTTGCACGAAATTTGGCATAGGGTACTTACTTAGGTCCAGAATGATGTGTGCTAAGTTTCGTGAAAATCGGTTCAGATTTAGATATAGCTCCCATATATAGTTTTGTCCGATTTTATGTAAATGGTGCACCAAAGTCCCTATATATCTTCCGATTTGCACAAAATTTTGCATAGGGTACTTACATAGGTCCAGAATAATGTGTGCTAAGTTTCGAGAAAATCGGCTCAGATTTAGATGTAGCTCCCATATATAGTTTTGTCCGATTTTATGTAAATGGTACACCAAAGTCCCTATATATCTTCCGATTTGCACGAAATTTAGCATAGTGTACTGAATTGAATATAGAATGATGTGTGTCAAGTTTCGAGAAAATCGGCTCAGATTTAGATATAGCTCCCATATATATTTTCATCCGATTTAGGGTAAATGCTGCACCAAAGTCTCTATATATCTTTTGATTTGCACGAAATTTGGCATAGGGTACTTACTTAGGTCCAGAATAATGTGTGCTAAGTTTAGATATAGGTCCTATATATAGTTCTGTACGATTTTATGTAAATGGTGCACCAAAGTCCCTATATATCTTCCGATTTGCACGAAATTTTGCATAGTGTACTAAATTGTCTCCACAATGGCGTGTGCTAAGTTTCGTGAAAACCGGTTCAGATTTAGATATAGCTCCCATATATAATTTCATCCGATTTAGGGTAAATGGGCACCAAAGTCCCTATATATCTTCCGATTTGCACGAAATTTGGCATAGGATACTGCATTGAGTCTAGAATGATGTGTGTCAAGTTTCGGAGAAAATCGGCTCTGATTTAGGTACAGCTCCGATATATATTTTCATCCGATTTAGGGTAAATGGTGCACCGAAGTCCCTATATATATTTCGATTTGCACGAAATTTTGGCATAGGATACTGCATTGAGTCTATAGCCAAAGTGGTGAAGGGTATCATAGAGTCGGCCCAGTCCGACTTTACTGCTTTCCTTACTGGTTTAAATTTGAATTTGTTTTTTTTAGAGCCCCAGTTTTGGGTCGATTTTTATAGAAACATTTTTTGTTCCATTTTCCATTTTTTCGGTGTGACCCTTCAGGGTGGATGGATTTTTTTGTATAAAAAATTTGCTGAGACCCTTGGATGGATTTTTTTCTATTTAACAAAATTTGGTAGGACCCTTCAGGATCGACTTTTTTCGAAACCTATTTTTTCTGCAGAAAAACCTCGATGAGGTTCTGTTGGTTCGCTACAGAATGACCCTTGTTTTATTTAAGTATGACATGTCGATTATTAAATAAAACACACACTGCGTACTCTTCTCTCTAGCCCTCTCTTTGCCTAAAGGACCTTAAAAGCCAGCCATCCACAGCCGAACAATCTGATATAAATCTTTTTTTTTTTGTAATCCATGTGACGTCTGCTGTTGTGACGGTCGCATAGACGATGCCTGTTAATATCGATTTAAATATTAAAAACAACTTAACTCCTCAACGTTTATATGTTATCCCCTCTCTCTCTCTCTTTCTGCTTCTCCCTCCCTCACAGTGCCACAATGTTTAAGTGAATGAAAGTGTGTTCGTGTGTGTATCAATAAATTGAAAAAATTTTAAAAAAGTATGTCGTTGATGACGATAAACGAAAATCGAAATTAAAAGTGAAAACATCCTCCACTCCTTGTCTAACAAAAAAAGTTTGAAAAGGAAACAACAAATATTTTGAAATAAAAAATAAGTTCTCAAATTACACAAGGCAACCAAGAGCAGATCAAACATCAACTAAATGTTCTGATTGCATATTCAAATAACAGCAACAACAACAACAACATTGCAGATTTATCATTTTTTTGTGCTGGAACAAAAATTACAATAACAACAACAAAATTATCATCAAACAAATAACAACAACAGCAAAATGAAAACCCGTCTGGTTTCTCTAACATATCGCGGTTCGGCTTCGGTCGATCCGCGCTACTCAGCCGCAATGCTGCCGTGGACTATAAACGATATTCGCTCAACGGAAAGTTATTCGAAGGTAAGTGGGCCTGGTTTTTTTTTTTTTGCTTGCATATTTTCCAATTGAACTATTCGCAATTTTTATTTGAACTTTGGAAAAAAATCCAATTGGGAATTGAGAAGGGGCTATGAAATTGCATTTTGTAGAAGAATGTGTTTTTATTTATTTTATAAAAATATCTTTTACTAGCAAAGTACCCGCTACTTCGTATCCGGAAAGAGAATACAAAAATATATATTTCATATGGAAATCGTGAATACCGTATAATATTTTGTACTATTGTTCCGAATTCCATCTCTATTCCTACACCTAATATCAAGTTTATTACCACTTAGGATTCTTCATACACATAAGCAATATTTTCCGAAATCTCTCTCTTATTTCCATTACACAGATTAATACCAGTAAGGAAAGTAGTAAAATCGGACGGGGCCGACTATATGATACCCTTCACCACTAGGTATTCAATTGATGAATCCTAACAGACGTCGCATTTTTAAAGGACCAGTAAAATTAAATTGGATCAATAAACATGTCATTCTGCAACCGATACTAACTTTTTCATTTGGTCAGATATAGAAGCTATATCCAAATCTGAACCTCTTTTCAGAAAATTTAACACACATCATTCTACACCTAATTCATTACGCTGTGCCAAATTTCGTGCAAATCGATAGATATATACGGACTTTGGTGCACCATTTACCCTTAATCGGACGAAAATATATATGGGAGCTATATCTAAATCTGAATCGATTTTCACGAAACTGAACACACATAATTCTAGACCTAATTCATTACGCTGAGCCAAATTTCGTGCAAATCGATAGATATATACGAACTTTGGTGCACCATTTACATAAAATCGGACGAAAATATCTATGGGACCTATATCTAAATCTGAACCGATTTTCAGGAAACTTAACCCACATTATTCTAAACCTAATATAGAACGCTGTGCCAAATTTCGTGCAAATCGAGAGATATATAGGGACATTGGTGCACCATTTACATTAAATCGGACGAAAATATATATGGGAGCTATATCTAAATCCTAACCGATTTTGCCCAATTTCAGTAGGGTTCGTCCTTGGGCCAAATAATTGACCTATGCCAAATTTCATCCAAATCGGATCATAAATGCGACCTGTACTTTGTTCACAAAAATACATGGACGGACGGACACGCGTAAATCGACTCAGAAAGTGATTGTATGCATATTCTCAAAAGGAACCCTGTGTCTATCTCGTTTCCTTTTGCCTGTTACAAATAACAGTAATCTTAATTCCACCAATGTCCAAATTGTACCAAATTTAGTATTTTTTTTTACAAAGTTCGAAATATACCTCAATCCTGCTTTCAAATAGTAATCGTAAGTCCAAATGTAAGAATTGCAGCTCTGTCTGTTCACTAAATTGTACCAGATTTGGTACCATTCGGTACTTTTGCTACACTGCCCTAAGTAACCTAAGTTGCAACTTTCAGGATTCATCAAAGTCATAATTGTACTAAACATTGTGCTGTTCGTACCCTTAAGTACGAATTTCCAAAACTACCTCAGTCATGTACTCCAATAATAACCTTAAATTCACATTTAAAGATTCCAGCTCCATCTGTTCTCCAACATCCAAATCCAATTTCACACTGCAACAGTAATTCCAATCATATATTTCAGAATCCCAGCCCTATCTGTTCGCATAGATCCAAATCATATCATATTTAGTACTTTTCGTACTTATGAGTTCGAATTTCCAACACTGTCTCAATCCTGTGCATTTTCAAAATTATCTCCATGTCTCATCCTACATTCCAACCTTAGTTTTAATTCCAAATTTTAGAATTCCCGCTCACACAAAACGAATATGGTATATTTAGTACCATTTAGTACTTCTCGTATCTATAAGTATAAAAATTCCAATAATACCTAAATTCTGTAATTTTCATTCCAAATTTAAGTTTTCCATCTCTATACGTTCACTGAAATCTAAATTGTACCAAATTTTGTACCATTTAGTACACATAATGGCAAATTTTCAAAACAACCGACATATCTTAATCCTGCACTCCAAATTTCAGAATCTCAGCCCTATCCGTTCACGCAAAACCATTTTTGTAAACTATTTGGTACCATTTAGTACTTTTTGTTTCTATAATTAAGACGTTCCTAAACTATGTCAATCCTACACTCCAACATTAATTTTAATTCCAAAATTCTGGATTCCAGTTCTATCCGTTCAAACATAATCAAGTTGTACCAAATATAGTACCATTTAGTACACATAAATACTATGCTTCCATATCTCAATTCGATATTCCAACAGCAACGATTATTCCAAATTTTAGGTTTCCAGCTCTCTCCGTTCACCCAAATCAAAATTGTACGAAATCTAGTGCCGTTTAGTACTTTTTGTACACATAAATACGAATTGCCAAAGATGTCTCTATAGCTCAATCCTCAACAGTAATCTTTATTCCAAATTTCAAGTTTTCAGCTCTATCCATTCAAGCAAAATTCAAATTGTACTAAATTTAGTATCATTTTGTACTTTTCATACCAATAAGTACGAATTTCCTAAACTACCTCAATGCTACACTCCAACAGACATTTTAATTGCCAATTTCAAGGCTCCTGTTCTACCTGTTCCACTAAATCCAACTTGCAACAAATTTAGTACCATTTAGTACTTTTCGTACACATAAGTACGATATATATACAAAGCTACATCAATCCTGTACTCTAAATAGTAATCCTAATTGCTATTTTCTGGATTCCATCACTATACGCTCAACGCTAAATGCAAATAGTACCAAATTTAGTACAATTTTGTACTTTTTATACACTTAAGTACGAACTTCTTAAACCATTTCCATACATCAACATCCAATTCCCAGCCTAGCTCTATATATGTTCAAAAAATATACAATTAGAACTAAATTTAGTAAAGTTCAGTACTTTTCGTACACTTATGGGTCGAATTTCCGAAAAACCCATTTGTACATCTTTCGAACTTTCCGTCAGTGACCCATTATCAAAACAAATATTTTTTCGAAGAAATCACAATTCGTTGATTAAAAACAATATCGTCTTTTTTCTCTCTGGATCCTTCGATAACTATATCCCCTCCCACATTTCAAACTTATTATGTACTTCCCACCATCTCCATGCATACTCATAAGGTTTGCATGTGTGTTGGTGAAATGCAAAGCGAAAGAAAACCAGGGTGCGCAAAAATTCGCTCGCGAATAATTCAAATACATTCGAATAATTCAAAATACATTCTTTTCGTTGTGTGCTCATTTTACGAATGAATTTATGGCGATAAACCATCTTTACCAAACGCGCATTCGTCAAAGAATGTTCGCACACACAAATAACAAACGAGTGAGAGCACCCAACAACGATCGTTCGTTTCGTTTGGTGGTTGAAATTATTTCTGACATTCTCTCACGAATGAAAACAAACATTTCTGAATTCTCGCGAATGTTCAAAACACAGCAACAATAATAACCAGTAAGGAAAGCAGTAAAGTCGGACGGGGCCGACTATATGATACCCTTCACCACTTTGGGTATATTCAACAGATGAATCATAACAGACGTCGAATTTTTGAAGGACCATTAACATGAAAATGGATCCATAAACATGCCATTCTGTAACCTACACTAAAGTTTTCATTTGGTCAGATATAGGGTTGCTTCTTACAATGGGACAAAATTATATAAAGCAATGTAAAGGAAATGTATTATAGTAACTACAGTTCATTGTACCAATTGTGTGGAAATCAGACAAACTTTGGGTCTTTAGTGCACAATTTACACACACTCGGAAGAAAAAATATATAGGAGCTATATCTAAATCTGAACCGATTTTCACGAAACTTAACACACATAATTCTAGACCTTATTCATTACGCAATACCAAATTTCGTGCAAATCGAAATATATATAGGGACTTTGGTGCAACATTTACATTAAATCGGACAAAATTATATATGGGAGCTATATCAACATCTGGGCCGATTTTCAGTAAACTTAACACACATCATTCTAGACGTAATTCATTACGATATGCCAAATTTCGTGCAAATCGAAGGATATATAGGGACTTTGGCGCACCATTTACATAAAATCGGACGAAACTATATATGGGAGCTATATCTAAATCTGGACCGATTTTCTCAAAACTTGGCTGACATCACTCTAGGCTCAACTCAGTACGTTATGCCGAATTTCGTGCAAATCGAAATATATATAGGGATTTTGGTGCACCATTTACATGAAATCGGACGAAACTATATATGGGAGCTATATCTAAATCTGGACCGATTTTCACGAAACTTGGCAGACATCATTCTAGACCTAAATGATTAGGCTGTACCAAATTTCGTGCAAATCGAAAGATATATAGCGACTTTGGTGCACCATTTACATGAAATCGGACGAAACTATATATGGGAGCTATATCTAAATCTGGACCGATATTCTCGAAACTTGGCAGACACCACTCGAGGCTTAATTCAGTACGTTATGCAAAATTTCGTGCAAATCGAAAGATATATAGGGACTTTGGGGCACTATTTACATGAAATCGGACGAAACTATATATGGGAGCTATACTAAATCTTGACCGATTTTCACGAAACTTGGCAGACATCATTCTAGACCTAATTCATTATGCTGTACCAAATTTCGTGCAAATCGAAAGATATATAGGGACCGTTTACATTAAATCGGTTAAATATATATATGAGAGCTATATCTAAATCTGAACCGATTTTTCCCAATTTCAATAGGGTTCGTCCTTGGGCCAAACAAATGAGCTGTGCCAAATTTCATCCAATTCGGATCATAAATGCGACCTGTACTTTGCTCACAAAAATACATGGACAGACAGACAGACAGACGGACGGACATGCATAAATCGACTTAGAAAGTGATTCCATGTATATTCTCAAAAGGAACCATGTGTCTATCTCGTTTCCTTTTGCCTGTTACAAACATATGCACAAAGACATAAT